GCCGAATTGCCATTTTAAAAATTTCTAAACTTCCTTTAGATGCGCATGAGTAGTGGCAAGTGCCACACGAGTCGATCGCCTGCTGCTCGAGCTCAAACGTGCCGCACTCCGTCAAGGTGTGGTTCCTCGGAGTTACTAGATACTAGGCGTGCCCCGTTGCCAGCACACAATGCGTGTATTTAAGGCTCCTTGGCCACACAGTAGCCAAATATTTTCACCAAAAGTACAAAACAAAATTAGCAACAAAAAAAACAATAAAAATCGCAAATCATTAAGATTTCGAAAATGTTTATTTGCAAAGTGAAATAGTGCGAAAATCATGCCTTCCGCCGAACTCTGGTCCCAGTGCGTCTCGCACCCGCTTGTACGACTGCCATACATTGCATGATTCGCCACTTTACACTACAACTTCACACACAAACACACACACTCAAACTCAAAGTCATCGTTTTAGCAAACAAACCTTTTTGTCCTTTCGCTTTTGGATAATTTTTAGAGCTAAAAAAGCGGAGAGTGAAAGAGTTGTCGGTGCTGCCAGCGTTTTGTTCGCGCTAATGAAACCATTAGCAATTGTAATCGCTTGCTAAATGAGTTGTCAGTGAAAATTTGCAAATCATCACGAAAATGAATTCGCAATTAATTTCTCGCTTGCAAGGCGAAAGATCAAAGCGGCATGCGAGAGAGAGAGTACAGGCAGTTAGCTAAAAAGGTAAAGGTGTGTGGAGCCTGCTGATTGTGATTGCTACTGTTTGGAAAATTTGGCATTGTCGATTTATTTTGACATTTTCACTTATAAAGATTTCGGTACAGTTTTTCTTTCTCATTTCACTTGAAAGGTGGTTAGAATTATTTCGATGATTACCTGATGGAAATAAGAAAACATCAAATGAATGAGTTCTTTAATTTGTCCTAGAGAAACTTTCGATTCATAGTGTTCAATTAAATATTATGAAGAGATATAAGAGTATTTTCTTTCTAAATGTTTAAGTGTTTTAAAGTGTGAACCCTTTTGCTGACAAGGTCACCACTTTCGTGAAAACGTTACGGAAAGAGATTAAGTGAATTCAATAACCAAGTAGAGTCTACCATATAACGATACTTCCCTGAATCTTGGAAAGCGCTCTTACGCAACTAAAGCACAAAGATTTCAGTAGCAATTTTCAAAAGGATCTTGTAGTTGCGTAGGTGTGGATCGTCGACCAGTATCTGTTAAGCGCACGCGTGGTCGATTTATACAGTGCTAGAACGCAAGTTTTCAATGGAGATCCAACTCGGTCCCATTGCGGGGCAAAGGTGCTCCTTCTGGCTAGCTCATTGCTTTACAATTAACAGAGAATCCGCTATGACCAGACACCCAAACGAGTCTGATGATGAAGTAGCTTGATGCTTTTTGTAGTGAGGTGAGACACACCTTGATTAGAATTGAGCGCATATTTAGCAAGCTCAGCGCTAGTATTGCCGCTCTGGAGTGAGTGCTCACCTCTCTCAAAAAGACTGCACTTCGTAACAGTACGTCCGCTGCCGCTTTAATAGCAACAGCTGCTGCCTGAAAAATACGACAGTGGTGCAGTAGCTTATAGCTAAAATTGACGGAGTGCTTCTTACAGAAAATTCTCTCTTCAACCTTCTCTCCTAGGTTCGACCCATCCGTCGCCTCTTCTTCACCGACTCTTCCTATACACTTATGCTTCGTCGGTATGTGAGCAGAGAAAATGTTGTTACGAGTTGCCTCTACGGGGAAGTGATCCAAGTTTTCAAAAATGCAGTTGAAGGAAGAGAGAATTTCGGCATGTCCTTGTTCGAACCCCTTCAAATACCTAGCTTCCCCGAGACTTAGAGCGCACTTTGCAGACACTACATAGCTTTTGCTTCGGTTTATTTCAAACTTGCTCCTCCGATATGATTGGAATTATATTTACCAACAAATTCGGCTAATTACTGTTGCAAAGTTCTCATTGGGCAGATGCTAAAGTATCCAAGTGAAATCACAATTTAAAAAATATTTATATAAGTTATGAAGATTTGCTCTGTTATTGGCCAACAGCTAGTAGTTTTCCTTTCCAGCAAGGGTACATTATCGCATTAAGGCGGAGTTATAACAGCTATTAAACATTCCACGCACGCTGTTATACCTAAAAGTATGCTATATTTCATAACCAAAAGACGACTGTTGCCTACATTCAGGAAGAAATTCAAATCAACTTAAAATTTTTTTGAAAATCAATTAATTTCTTTGTAGAATTCAAAAATAATAATCCAATTCACCAAAATAATCGTTAAATAAAAATAAAAATCCGCATTTACCGCTTTGAGTGAAATGGTTTCCACCGTGCAACTTCGTTACGCTACCCAAACATCTATCGCTATTTGAGAGTTATCAACATGGTTTTAGTGTTTGAATTGGTGTTTGTTGTAACTAACAGCATAGTCTTGTTATGATTGTATAACGTAATGCGTGTGACATCCTCATTACAGTCAGCTTGCTCGTTTCCCCGCTTTAAGAACCGCATAGTTCACATAGCCAAAAAATATTTCCTTTCATGCTTTGTATGTAAGTGTGTATGGTATGTTCTCCTATCGCTTACACCACACCTAACGTATGTGCGTAAACTTACCCTCTAAACGCCCTTCTGCTTTCACAGCAAATGTCATCATTCTACGCTCTTCACGCGGCAACTTCAGGTATATCTCTTACATACTTACATGGTTATTAGTTACGCTCATATGTATTTGGCTATGATATAGATATGTCTATGTTTTGCTTTTCATGTTTATTTTATTATAAAATTATGTGTAAATGCTTGTTGTTTTTGCTCTCGTAGCTATCACTAGCTTTATACGCTTGTCAAAAAATTCAAAATTTTCTTCGCTGTCTTAGTAACTTTTTTTGTTGTGTGATTGTTTGCATTTGAAATTGTTTTGAGTGCAATTACAATATTTTCATAATTTATGCATGGAGTGGCGCAGTTTTGATTATTTGGATAAGCTGGAATGTAGCTGCTTTTTTTGCTTTTGAGCTGAAGAATATATTCTAGAGATGTATTTACATGGTCTTACTTGCAAAACATATTTTTGAAATTAAAATTAATTGTTCATATCTGCAGAGGCTCGAAACGTATTTTATTTAACTCAATATAAAAACATTTACATTCTTTGCAATAAAATTTAAAAAACAAGTGGCAAACCTCCGCAAAAATATTTTCCACAGAGATATTGCTTAAAGTTGTTTGATGTTCAGTGATTTTAATGTAACTTCGCCAATTTATGTGAATAAAAAAAACCTACAAATGGCAACACCTCTTGAAAATTTTTTCAACTTCTTTAAAAAGTTAAATTGTATGATCAAAGCGTAGCAGCCTTGTAACTTTTTCAGTTCTGTTGACTTGAAATCATCGAACAGGTTTTCTTCGAAAATCTTTTTTTGTTATAAATTACAGTTATTGTCATTACTTTGACAGCGATTGTTACTAAATTTGACATATTGAAAACCGCATATATTAGAGGAACAGTAGAAATGGTCATTAGATATTTATTAATTTTGATTGAAAGACTTACCGACCACTACGCGAGTTACATTATGTCAAATTTAATGACGCTGAACTGACTTCAGGTTATGAATTTCGCGTGAAAAAGCTTGCCGTAAATTTCCCGAGAAATAAAGTGATAAGAGTTTTTAGTGTTTTGAAAAAACGTCAGTAAATTTGACATACTGAAACTAGTACATAAGAGAGGAAAACTTAAAGCTGTAATTAATTTTTTTTATGTCAAATTTTATGACGCTGAACGGGCAAACACAATTGTTGCATTTCTTATAGTAGGCAGATTGATAGGCTTGAAAAAGCTTGTCATAAATTTCGTGAGAAATAAAAAGCTAAGGGGTTTCATTGTTTTGATAAAAGGACATTAAATTTGACATAACGAATTCATCAGAATTGAAAGAGTGGAAAAAATATTGTATTGAAATTGAAAGTATATATTTATTAAACTGCCCTAATGTGTACAGAAACTTTTGAAAATATAGAAAGACTTGCTCTGACATGTCGCTTGTGGGAAATTGAACAATAATAATAATTAACACCTTTGAAAAATTGTCTAAATAACACTAGGCGACCAATCTTTTTAATAGACAACATTTATATACAAGGTAAATAGTTATTTCTGTTTTGGTGTTGTTCTTGCTGGGATACTGCACACTCCGAGACTAGCAGCACTAATGCTCAAATAAATACACTTTTGTTTATTGTTATGAAATATCCCGACAAACCTCTACATAGTACTCTTTCATATTGTTCTTTTACCTTATTTCTTAACTAAAATTCATATATTTTTTTCATCAAAATTGAATTCTTTCTGATTAAAGTGCTATAAATAAATGTTTTTTTTTGTAATAGTCGACTTATGGCGACTGTAGCGCGCTGAGCGTCAATAATTTAAATCATTTACAATAATATTGTCTTAATGTGACCTTAGAAATAATTAAGTAACGTGATGTATAGCATAGCGGAGCCCATAAAAATAAAAAAAAACAAGAAAGCGAGAGGCGTCGAAACGATAAACACAAAGACTAGGCGCGCGCTAACACACACACACACAAGTAAAGGTACAATCAGAGATAAACCCCCACACGCACACACACGCGCAGCTCTTTTCACGCCTTTGCTCTACAAACATATTAAAATATATAAAAATTTATTTGCTTCTCATCGAAATTCCCTTATAAAGATAAGCGATTTCAACGTCATCGGTGGCGTGATCGCACCTACAATCAGCAAAAGAGTTAAAAAAATAAAAATTAAACAGAAAGATAAATAATAGACACAATTACTCATTCATAAAAAAATGCTATATTAACAATATTTTTGTATATACAATAAAAATTACAAATACAATACATCTGAGCGTTAATAGAAAATATATATACAAACATTTAATAATAATAATAGCAATAATAATAATAATAAAAAACAAACATAGCAGAAGAGTAAAAACGGTGTAGATACGTATGTATAAGTAGGTATATATGTTTTTGTTGTAAAAGCGACAATAATAAATAGAAAAGTTCACTGAAGCGGCACAAACGAGCTTTGCACTGGTCATTCGACTTATAAAGCTAACATAAATTCTTTTGCGGGCGCAACTGCTTTGGTTCATTCAACACACAAAAACAATGCGCACGGAGGCCGCTTATGGTACGCAAACGTGCCGCACGCACTTAAGTATGCGCGCATGTATACGATATCGGGCTGAAGTGTTAACTGATAAGCACAGAGTTGTGTGACACTCAAGCGCTTCTTGTCACCTCAATCACAAGCAACGCTCGACGCTCAGATAGATGTCGCTATTATTCGACAACAACAGAAATTTCCGATCGAATTCGATGTTGTCGACAGTCTTTTCGCAAATCTCCACACGATGTGTGTGCAGAAAATGTATGAGGCCGAGTTTGATCTGCACCTGCGCTATGGCCATGCCAATGCAGTTATGCGGACCAGCTCCAAAGGGCAGATACGACATGGGCATGTGCAGTGTGCGGTTCTCTGGTGAGAAGCGTTCCGGATCGAAGCGCGCCGGATCGGGCCAATACTGCTTACGGTGAGTAAAATGAAGACATATTATAATAAAAAATTAAAAATTGTAAGCAACAAACACGCGCGCTCACCTGTGGATCATGGTGTATCGCTAAATTCGATATGTAAACGGGCATGCCGCGACGCACAAAACAGTCCGCGTACGGGCGCAACGCGACGAAACGCTTCTTATTGATCGGCGTGCATTCGCGTTCCAAAATCGGCACATTCGGATACTTGCGCAGCGTCTCATCCACCACCATCGCCAGGTAACGCATACCCTGCACCTTGTCATAAGTAATAGCTGGCGCTTGCCCATCACCCAGCATCTGTCGTATTTCAGCGCGTAGACGCGCCTGCAACAACGGCTGCTTAGCCAGCTCATACAATGCAAACGTCATGGTCATGGCACAGCTTTCGATGCCCGTCAGTTCGAACATGGCCGCCTGCGCGACCAAATAGTCTTGTTGGTGCGTGAAATGCGTGTGATCCTGATTGAGCGCCGCCTCCATTTTCAACGTCAGCAACATTTCGACGAGATCATTACGTAGTATGCCATTGCGTTCGCGCTCCTCAATCACTTGCAACACGGTGCGACGTAAAAAGTCCGCATGTGTTGGTGGCAAGAGATGGCGCCGCAATAACGATACGAATTTGGGCAGGAAGAAGATGACACACAAATCGATGACGCGCGTATAGGTGAGCGTATACACTTCGCTACAATTACTGCCCAGCTCCGTCTGCTTGTTGCGCAAACTATATGAGCGCAAGCCGAACGCTATGCTGGCGATCAGATCGGTATTGTAGAGATCGCAAATCTCTTTGACATTCACCACAGCGTTGCGGCGCTGATTGCCGTTGGCAGTAAGACGCTGCAGATAGGACTCGAGATCACAGCCAACCTGTGTTAACAAGGCAGGTGTAACAAATAAAGAAACAAATAAAATTACACGTTGGTAAGCTAAGGGTGCTGGGCAAATACAGTTGGTTGAACAAGTGAAAGTACCTCCTCCATCAGTGCAAACATCTGCTTGATCTTACCGCTGGTGAATGCCGGCGAAAGCCGCGTTCTTATCTCACGCCATTCGGGATTGCGCACGAAGAACAAACTGTTCGCCGCGAGCTTGTCCACACGCTTGTCACATTTGGAGAAGCGCATCGAGAAGCTGACGAAGTCCTCCACTAAAATGGTGCGCACCAGATTGAGATCGCGTATCAGCAGCGCTGGCTGGTGGAACAAGTAGATGCCAACCACGGGCTCATCTTTGAATTGTGCATCGAAGTAGTAATCGCGCAGCAGCAAAGGAAATGAAGTCTGCAGCCACAGCACGTCTTTCAAATTGCCCAGCAGATGTACGGGCTGCACGAACTTAACGCGTCGCCGCTGCCAGTAAACATATGTACGTCGCGACCAAACGAGCACAGCTGTCAGCACAGTGACGAACACGAGCAGCACGGTAGTGGAGTCCACCATTGTTCAAGCACGCAAAGTTCTATGACAACGCGGGCGATATACACGAGCAACGCTTGACCTTATGTTCAATATATTTAATACTAAAATTAATTACTATTTATACCTTATAACAAAATGCTAGGCAGGCGTGTGCAAGCACTTGTTTTAGTTGATAAACGTCTTTATATGCGCGTTTATTGTATTTGTTTGTCTGTGCGGTTGAATGCACTCTTCGTGTTTTGTTTGTAAAAACAAAGCAAACAACAACACGCCACGCCACAACATAAAAGCGCAACGAGAACAACGCGTACCGGCGTTATCAAAACAAAGTAAACGACTGCCTGTATGCTCTTTGGCGAATTTGTGTCGAAGCTCTGCCGACGCTCCAGAACAGGCCCCATTTTCGACGTCTCAGCTCATATTCGCGTAGGCAGCGACGTGGCCAAGCAGAACGCGGAGTGATTCAGTGCGAAGCGTTGAGCGCGCGCTTTATTTTTTGCTCATAATTTAATGCTCTCCAAACGCAAACAAGATAGACTGCTGCTAAGGCAGCACCCTGCAATCGGTCTAGTAGCTTTATTGTGATCTTAAGTGAAATTAAGACGGTGGTCAACTTTATAACGATATTTTATAGCCTGTAATATTTGGATTTAAATAATATTTATTTAAATTTCATTATTACAATTTGTTAATTAATTTTTTTAATTCTCATAAATGATAAAGATTTGGAAATTAATTTGTGAGTTGAATTCCAAAAATTTAAAAAAAAATAAAAAATTATTTTGTATACAAAAAAAAAAAACAAGATTAAAATCAATTTTTTTTTTAATTTTGAAAATTGTATAATTTTTAAGAAATTTCCAGTCAAATGTTTATTTAAAAAAACATAATAAAATCAAAAGTAAAAAATTTTCAAAAAGAAAAATTTCCCAAAAAAAACCAAAAATTTATAAAACTTAGAAACCGTAATCAAAAAAAAAGTTAATGATTTTAAAATTGTTTTTGTGTATAAATTAAAAAATGTCTACAAATAAAAGAATTTCAAACATTGAAACAAAATTTAAAATAATTCAATCTATCTAAATTTTTGTGGTGGACTAAGCAAAAAAATTTTCAAAAAAAAACATGAAAATTTTAAAAACATTTCAAATTATTATCTATATAAATTTTTTTGAGAGTAAAAAAAAATTAATAAAAAATTTTCAATAATAAAAAAATTTCAAAATGCATCTTCTGTAGATTTTTTTAGTGTAAAAACAACTAAAAACTTTCAAAAATAAAATGAGTACAAAAATTAAAAAAAAATTTAAATTCATTTTTTATTCCTAAATTTTTTTTATTTAACTTTCAACATTTCAGTTCAACTCTAAACTAATTATAGTATTTAGGGTATGGTTTGTTCGACCTTCACTCATCCATGGCAGTGTGCAGCCATATCTTTTATCTGCTTGTGCTCTCCCACATGCCACTTGTTTTGCTTATACTCAACATTTATTCAGCGATAAGCGCTTAGGTAATGCCGCTTACTGTACATAGATGGCCTTGGAGTAAGATTCGACTCAAAATGATTTTAAGATTGAAATATTATATTAATAAAAAAAAAAAATTATTTACGAAACTCTTGCAAAACATTTAATGCTTTTAAAATTCTAATTTCTCAGTGCAAATTACAAAATAATAGTTTTTTTTTTAATTTTTTTTCAATTAATTATAATATTATAAAATTAAAATTTCAAATTAAAATATAAAAATTTTTTCGTTTCAAAATTTCTGAATTCAAGTCACAAATTTCGAAAATTATTATTTTGTAATTTTTATATGATTTAATATTTTTTTTATTTTTATTATTATATTTAGTGTAGTGGCAACTCTAAAAAAATTATTGAGTAGGCAAATATTTTGAATAAAATAGAAATCGATTTATGAAATTAATTGCTTAAACACAATAATTTATCGAAGATATAAGCACCAACCAATCGCAATCGTGCGTTGGGCATAATTTTCAATCAAAACAATAAGGAAACGAAAAGTAATTGCCCGAGAACTCTGTTCATTAATATTTGTTTTTATACAAACATGTGATTTATCGATCAGCAAGGCATTGAGCAAAATTCCAATTTTCATATTCATATTAATATGCAGATGTGGCCACATAGTCTCCTTTCTTTCATATAGAATTTTTTTTCAAATACTCTAGTGAATAATTACCGAAGCCAGTGGGCCTCCTAGTGACAGTCATTAAGTGAATAGCAATAAAATCGCTCATACACGAGCACCAGCACCACCACGAACGCTCTGCGTAAACAAACGTGAGCTGAGAGCGTTCCAAAGTTCAATTTGAACTCACGAAAAAAGCATTTTGACGTATGTCCATATGTAAATACTAGTGTGGACGCTAGTAAAATATATGATCGCTTTGCGGTTTCTGCTGTCACAACGTGCTGAAACAGCTATAAATACATCCATACACAGATACCTATAAACATATATATGGTATACGTAAAAAGCTTCGGTAGAGATGTGCGAAGAGAGCGAGAACCGGTTTTTTCATACGATTCACAATGGCAATAGACTCGTGGTACTTTGAAACTATTAATACATATGCCAGTACTAACTTAAGTACTTAAGCACTTATGCCATGGTTTTCAAGTGCTATTATTTTCAACTTATAATGCTGAAACAGCAAGAAAGCTCAATATATCATTTTTTACAACTGATTTTTATTATGCCTACTTATTTTCGCAGTTAATATAGTTAATCGTTTATCAAATCCGTTTACGATTAATTATTAACTAATAAATCTTTGTAGCGGCAACTGCCAGTAGCGCCTTATCTCTACGACTCTGACACTTGTGGTATTTCCATTCTCTGGCCGATGACGTGTTCCTGAGCGATAGGCGCTCTATGTGAGTATGTATGTATGTAGTACGTGTGTACGTTTGGCTTCTTTTAATTTCTGTCGACTCATCGTTTGCTCTAAATTTCTACAAGCTCGCAGTTTCTATGTTATTCTTTGCCAACAAGTGAAAACTGGGTGCGGCAATGCCCAAAATGAGATGCCCTACACGATAATGCACATATAAATAATGTATTAGTTGAGAGTAATCAATGTGAGTATTTATTATGCATAATTTTTATATTCTTGCAACATGTTGCTACAGAGTATAATAATTTTGTTCACCTAACGATAGTTTGTATCATGTAAATTTAATCGAGTTAGATATGGAGTTATATATGTATATATATAAAAATGATCAGGATGACGAGACGAGTTGAAATTCGGGTGACTGTCTGTCCGTCCGTCTGTCCATGCAAACGATAACTTGAGTAAAATTTAAGATATCGTGATGAAACTTAGTACACATTTCCATTGGCACCCAAGGGAGGTTGATATAGCAAATGGGCCGAATCGGACCATAGCCACTCCCACAAAACGCTCTTAAACGAAAACCTTTAAAGTGCAATAACTAAAACTGTAATTCGTTACAGGAGATTGCAGTAGTCAGGGACATCTGTGAGTTAAAAACTTTTTAAACGTGGGCGTGGCTCCGCAACAACAAAACTTGCTGAGAAGAAGTCATTTTATTGCTCTTCCTGTGAAAATGGATAAAACCGGTTATTAACCACGCCCACTCCCATATATACGTATAACAGTTATGTTGAAAACTACTGAAAGTGCGATAACCCTGAATAAATGAGGTTCAAGCATTAAATTTCACAACCATCATGGTAGAGGAGGGTTTTATAGGATATGGCATAAAAATTGGACAAGGGACTACTCGAGCGATTTCAACCAAATTTGGTGTGTGAGGTAAACAAATATTGTTATTAGACACTCGAAAAATGGGCGAAATTAGATGACAACCACCCCCAATGCCTTTATAACAAACTTTTAAATTCCGTCTTCTTTCACTTTATATTATACAAAGAAAACATCAATTAAGTTATCAGAACAAATTTGTTGCACAAATAGTGTCCTCAAGGTATTTCATCTAAAAATGGGTAAAAGCAATTCAACACTTAGCCCTTAGCACCCATATACCTAATATAAATATTTTCGAACCTCCTGTTTACTTTATACCGCATCTATCGATGAATATGTAAGAAATCTTAATGAAATTCAGAAATAATCGTTTTCTAATCACAGTGTATTCTCTTTCCTTAAATAAATGAAATCACGGCGATACTTTCCTTAGTTTGATATAAAGTTTTGCCAAAACCTAAAAGTGTTCCTGCGCCTTTATTACTTGCAAGTTGCTAGAATTCGAAATGTTCGGCTACACCCGAACTTAGCACTTTCTTACTTATTTAAATTTCTCTTTAGTAATTTTAATTATTTTTAAGAAATTTAATATTTTTAGCCTAAATGTAGGCAACATAAAACAATGGAAGCTACAAAAAAGCTCAAAAAATTAATAAGGAAAAATAATGTTTTTTATGGAGTTACTAGTCAACTTAAATGTCTTCAGCGTAGCAAAATATAGCCATGAAAAAAAATTAAATATTAGTAAAATTAGAGTTATTAACTAATAAAAATGTAAACAATCAATTTAGTAAGCACAGTGTTGCCACCGATTTAAATTAAAAGTTGTTAAATGCAACGAAAAATTTAATATAAGTTGGTTGCAAGGACGAAAGGCGAAGACACTAAGAGGAGCTAAGGGAAGTATTGAACGATTCTACCCCTTTTTGACGCACAGACTTTATAGGTTTACGCTTAATGGAGTTTTGTGGGCGTAGCAGTGGTCCGACTACGCCCATCTATGAACTTGTGCTTGCTTTTTCGCCAAAAAATCCTTACACCAAGTTTCTTTACGATATCTAAATTTTTACTTAATTTATAGCTTGCACGGACGGACGTACAGACAGCCACACGAAATTCAATTAGTCACGTCATCCTGATCATTTATATACCTATATATATAAAACCATATCTAACTCGATTAGTTGTATGTGATAAAAAAAAAAGTTAACTGTAACAACATGTTGCAAAAGTATAAAAAGATTATAACCAACAGGCATATTCTTTAGATTTATTAATAAATTTTAGAATTTATTTGAAAATTATTTAAAAAAGATTTTGAAAACTTTTTTGAAAATTTCAATTATTTTGAAAATCCAAAACTATTTTATATCAAAACCGATTATGCTCTTTAGAGTTATATAAATTTTTAAATTTTAGCGCATTCCTGCATACAAATGCACAAATTCCAAAATTCTAACCCGTTTTCTTAAAATACTTATATGTGTGTATGTATATGTGCGTGTCTATTTTGAGCACAGCTAATTAGTTAAATAGCATTTGCTGCCGCCAAACACGTTTCAAGCTAAAATGCAAGAATAAAACATTGCTATTAATTTTTTGTTTAGCCCACTCAAAGAGTGGAAAAAAATTGGACCACCAACGCAACCGGTCAAGTTCGGCTGGCTTTGTGCGACTTTATGTTCGGTTCTCCACAACAAAGGCCGTTTTTCTCTGGTTTTAGCGGACTTATTGATGTAAAGTGCCAACGCAATTAATACGAGCGACGAAACACACATACACACATATGTATATGCATAGAGTGAGGCAAATAATATGTGCAAGCGTGTTGCAAGTGCAAGGCAAGGTGTATTCGTATATCGTTATGTTTGTACGAGTTTGACGTAAAAGGACAAACATCACACCCATGCGAAGTCGACGAAAAGCAACACAAAGCCTACAAAACCAAATGGGCAAACACTAGCAAAGAATATTTTTATATGTAGTTGTGTGTGTG